GGATGCAGTCAAGTGGCTGAAGTCTGGAAGAGTATTTTAGAAATACTGACCTGAAAGATCAAGTACAATAAAAATGTAACAGAAATGTCAGTTGTCAACTTGCAAGATCAATTCAACCAAATATTTCACAATCCACGTGGACTGAATTTTCACGCCATAATTCACGCTACTATATATCATTACAAAAAGCTTAAATTATCACCATTTAGATAACTAACTCCTTTGGGAAAAGGGTTAACTATAAAGTGGGATCCAATATGCTCCAATAGTTAAATTATATTTATCTAGATACATAAATAGCTATTACAAATGCCTTCGTATTATTTATTATTATTGTAACCATTTGCCAGCTGAAATGTAAACCTTACTGGGGAGATGCTTTTGTGTCTTACACCTCCTTTAGTGTATCTTACTCCACCCATTTGTTTGTCTTTTGCATCCCCCAGCCCCTTTGTGTGTCTCTTTCTCCCCAGCCCCTTTGTCTTTCTCTTATATCGCCCAACCGCTTTGTGTGATTCTTACTTCCCCCAACTCCTTAGTGCCCCATGACCTTTATGTGTCTCTTACATTCCCCAGCTCCTTTATGCATTTCTTTCTCCTTCAGCCCCTTTGTGTGTCTCTTACATCCTTCTAGCCCCTTTGTGTGTCTCTTAAATCCATCAAGACCCTTTATGTGTCTCTTTCTCCTTCAGTATATTCTGTGTCTCTTACTTTCACCAGTCCTTTTGTGTATCTTAGTTCCCCAGCTCCTTTGTGTGTCTCTTATCCCTTTAAGGGCTGATTTGCAAATTTGTCCAAAGTAAAACCAATAATCAGAATGGAATAGTGAGCTCTGAGCACTGAGCACTGCACAACAACTTATTATATACCTACTAACTATGCAGAATTACCAATATCATTTATTAACCTAATTGGTTACAATTGTCCACATAAAGGATGGTCTTAGAAATCAAAAATCATTCTACTTACATTACAAAGTAGATATGACACTTAGCTAAAACCAGCTACAACATGGCCAGTCTTCAAAATATCTGAACTTGAATTTATGCATCAGGAAGATGAGAAAGGAATTCTAGAAGTTGCAAGAAGAGAGAGGGAGTTCAGAGGCTCCTATAACATAAGAATGGAAATCTAGAAGCTCTAAAAAGAATTGGAAGGAATCTCCAGAATCTCTGAGAAGAAAAGGGAGAGAAACTCTGAAAACTCCAAGAAGGAGATCTATTGAAGGGGGAATGATGGGGGAATTTTTAAAACTTCAAAAAAGAAGCAAGACTAGCTGAAGAAGAACAAGAAGAGATGTAGAAATTTATAAACAAACAAATAAGGGGATTGAGCAATTCTGGACGAGGTTAGTTGCTGCTAGACTTGCCAGACTGCCTTTGCTTAGAAATAAACAACTACAATGGTTATTTACTAAACAATGAATTATAGTGAACTGAAGATTGAATTGTAAACTTTGGGAAAAAAACTGCTGATTTGGAAAATATCACCAGATCTGGTATAGTCACAGCTTTAATCTTTTAGCCTAAACTTTGCAATTTGCTATTTAGTGAATAACATTTTACATGCATTATTCACAACCAGAACTTCAAAATAAAACATCATCATTTTTAAACCAATTTCACACTTAGAGCTCATGAAATATTTTATGTGCCAATTAATTCAGGTCCCAGTTGGACCCTATTATTACTTTATGGGAATTTCTTCAAACAAATTATTCAGATAAAAACTTAATTCTTACTGTGTAGGTGTCTTTAGACAATGGTGCCGCTAAGGCACTTATTTCTTATTCTTACATTTGGGTATACCATTCTATTTCTTCCACATTTGATCCAAACATGGAGAATTTAACGGATCAGTAATGTTGCCACTGTTACTTACCTGTTTGTAGTAACCAGCCCTGCTGCTAATCAGTGCAGCCTATTTAAGCAGCAAATCCCAGTACCTCCTTGCCCTTGCGTGGTTTCCTGTTTCCCAAAAGACTCCCTGTTTCCTGTGTGTTCCTGTTTCCTGACTTCTGGCCTTGTTCCTGACCACGCTGCTCTTCGTTCTCCTGATCCTGGCTCGTCTGACTACCCGCTCTGGTGCCTGATCCCTGCTGGCTTCCTGGACTTTGCTTTTGGTTATTTCTTTATTTGCTATTTATAATAAAGGTGTTTTGCATCTACGTTCTGTCTCTGTCTGCTTCCTTGTCCCTAACATTACGCAAGGGCCAGGAATACAGATGGTACAGGCAATCCACCTATAGCTAACCTATTTACTCGGTGGGACCAGCAGAACCACCGTTTGGTGCGCATGCACTCCAGACCCTCCTGATTTGTACTGAACATCTGGATACAGCACTTGGCCAGCCTGCGACTGTGGCCGCCTCTGCCTCACTTCCTGTTCTAGCCTCAGAACCTGTTGTAGCCTCAGAACCTGTTGCGGCTAGAGGAAAGACTGGGTCTCTCCCGCTCCCTCAGTATTTTGGGGTCAACCCAGCTCAGTGCATAGGATTATTAAACCAGGTTGGATGATACCTTGAAATAGTTCCCCAGGCATTTCCTACTGACAGAAGCAAAGTTGGGTTCATGATTTCTTTGCAGTCTGATAAGCTTGGTGTCAGGTATACCTAACATTCATGCTGCCGCCGGAACCCACTTCTGGGTTCACGGCGCTTAGCTCCGCCCCTTTTTTCTGACGCGGTCTTTCCACGATACTTAGGAAGACCGCGCCAGATTCAAAGTGCTGGATTATTCACTCAGGTGCGGCAGTGAGATCAGCTGCTCTACTCGATGCTACCGGCTCCACTTCTCAGACCTCGGCTTGTAAACGGATTTCTACCTTCTCATCTCTCAGACCTCGGCTTATAAACGGAATTCTACCTTCTCCTCTCCCAGACCTCGGCTTGTAAACGGATTTCTACCTTCTCCTCTCTCAGACCTCGGCTTGGATAAACGGACTTCCTTTCTCTCACTACTAAACTGCAGTTTGTTAAAAGAGACTCCTTCCTCTTCCTCCATTGGGTGAATTAACCCTTCCAGTGCCAGAGTGCTTCTAAGTTAAGTAAATCTTTTGTCAAGGAAAGCAAGTCATATCAATTAATTATAGTATTTAATTTCTTTAAACCCTCTGTTGACAAATAAGGATTGCTGCTAAGGCTAAAACTTCATTATTAAAATTCAAGTTGGAACTAACTTGGCATTTTCCTGATTATTATTTAAAGATACAGTCCACTGATTTCACTCCAATATAATAGGAGGTGAAACTTACTGTTCCTGCCCTCAGAATATTCTGCAGTTGAGTTCCAATTAAAGAGGTATTACACAAAAGCATCACAGAATAATCCAGCCTTTTCAATGGAACCAGCAGATATTAACTCACAAGTTTCTGCCCTAACCAATAGAGTGGATACGATTGCTCAAGGGTTACAGGAACTGCAAATCACGAATGAGAGAATATTAACCTATGTTAGAGACATGCAAGGCCATCTTCCTCATGCCGCTCTTCAATCGGCTGGTGATCCTGCTGTCTGTAATCCAGAAAAATTTTATGGAGATAGAACAAAGTACAGAGAGTTTTTGAATTCTTGCAAACTTCTGATAGCTTTAAAACCTAGATCTTATCTCACTGAAAGATCAAAAGTTTGTTCAGTAATTTCTTTTTTAAGAGGTGAACCTATGGCATGGGCCCATTCCTTTTTAGAGAATGATGATCCCATATTAGATTCATTGGATGAATTCTTTGAAGCTATGTCTTTATTATATGAAGATCCTTATAAACAGGCTACTGCTGATTTAAACATCAGAAGTCTCCACCAAAAGAACAGACCTGTTGAAGATTATATTGCAGAATTTAAAAGATGGGCTACAGAAACCCAATGGAATGACATCACTCTACGCAATCAATTCCGTCTCGGATTATCAGAAGCTGTGAAAGATGAACTCTCTCGTACTGAACTTCCTCCCACCCTAAATGCATTGATTCAACTTTCCATTAGTATTGACAGACGTCTAAGAGAAAGAAGGGTTGAAAAAGTTCACTCTACTTCTAACTGGAGAAAACATTTTACTACTCCAAAAATTCCTGAAAAATCTCTTCCTCACAATGAACCTATGGAAGTTGGTATAATAAGAAGCCCTCTTACTTCGGAAGAAAGGATAAGAAGTAGACAACTAAAATTGTGCATGTATTGTGCTTCAAAAGAACATCTAATCCCAGAATGTCCCCTACTAATCCATTCGAAAGCTGGTAAGCTTCATTCATCTACTTCTATATTGAACGTTCTTCAAAAAAGGAAAACATCTACTTATTTTTCTATATCTCTCATATTACAATGGGATACAAAAAGAATCGTGACTGAAGCCATTATTGATTCTGGTGCTAATGGAACCTTCCTTGATTTTTCTTTTGTTGCAAAGAATAAAATTCCGTGTGTTTGAAAAACCAATTTTATTCCAATCAGAGTTATTGATGGTTCATTTATATCCTCAGGACCCATAAAAGATGAGACAATTCCTCTAAGAATGATTACCAATAACGTACATACAGAATTCCTTACATTTGATGTTATTAAATCTCCACTTTATCCCGTCATTCTAGGAATTAATTGGTTAAAAACTCATGATCCTTTGGGGGGGCGGGGCCTGACCGCCGACGGGATCAGACGTGCCTTGTCTGAGCTCCCGCTTCAGGGCCGAAAAATCGGCGAAAACTGGAGGCCAAACCTAACCAGCGGTCCATAATGGCGACCAAACTGACCCCCAGCTGATGGGGAACGCGGGGATACCTCACAAGACCCTGCCTGGCAACAACAGTGACCCGACAAGGGCCCGAAGCAGAAAGGAGCTTGAGCCGGGATGGGACGGCCGCCCTCCCGGGTCTCCAGCCGGCGTCTGGCTCCCCTCCCCCCTCTGGACCGGGGGGGTCATCCCGGTCTACAAGGGCAACCACTGGGGCACAAATCCGGGCCCAGAACAACCACTCTGCCGTGGAACACCTACCGAGCGGCACCCCACAAGATGGCCGCCGCTCGCAAGCCATGTGCGCGACCAGCCAGCATGACAGAGCCGATCGCAGAGAGGACCACCCAGCTAGAACAAGGCAAGTCTGGGGACAAAAACATCTACCACAGCAGGGGAAAGAGTGGGGCTGAAAGAGTTACTAACCCTCTGACCGCAACCGACGACCCCTGGGGGAGCTGTGCTCTCACGCCGCATGATGCTTCTACCAGCCACCCTTCCCAAGCAACAACAAGCTTGTTAGCTCTGCACTCGGCTACAGATCAAGCCTGGAAGGAGAAGCCCAACTACCACCCAGATGAGTACCCTAGACACCTGTGAAAGCATGTGGATCCCTGTCATTGTGCATTGAGCAGGACTACTATGTCTCCCTGTCACAGCCCACAAGTCTGAAGTTAACCCATCCTATAGGCCAGCACAGAGACAACCACAGCCCAACGTTACGCGGGCTTTACAAGGGACTACAGTTTTAACTTTACCTCTTGCTGCCTAAGCCCCAGTATTCTTTGCTATACACTGCTACAGTATTGCCTTTCCTACATATGTTAAATGGGAACGATCTGCTAAGCTCCAGTGGTCCTAACTAAGCTTTTGACTAGCCAATATGTAAAACAATAATTCCTACTTAAAACATAAGCTTTTGTCTAGCCAGCATGTTAAACAATAATTCTTACTTAAAACGTACTAATCGTGCATTGCATAACATAATTGAAACGTATCCTCAGAGGCTGCACCACGTGTGTCTGACATGATTCTTCAGTATCAGTGTGCTAGGCATCTATGCAGATTTAATATTATATTGTCTTGTCTAGATGCCAAACGTGCAGTATAAATCTGTTATGTCTTACACCATGATAGACACACTGGTTCAGCGTGGTCCTAGCCTTCCTCAGATATAGCATGTTTACCTTATCGCATGATACACCCAGCATGTATTGTTAACCTGTTGTATATTACTTTAAAAAATGTGTGCAGTCACTCCATATACCATGTCAAAGTTACACAATGTTTGATGCTTGAACTACTTGCCAATACTGTCGTGGTATCGCAAGTCTGTATGTAAACGCTTGCACAACAAAAATAAAGAATAAAAAAAAACAAAAAAAAAACTCATGATCCTTTAATTAAATGGTCACCCTTTTCCATTTCTTTTCCTTCTGACTTTTGCAAAAAAACCTGCTTCCAACATATTCCTATTCTCCAAACTACTCAGGAATCAATTATACCTCCCTTCTACTCTGACTTTTCAGATGTCTTTTGTAAAAAAGAAGCGGAAACACTTCCACCTCATCGAGCATATGATTGCCCAATAGATCTAATACCTGGTGCTCCCATTCCTTATGGACACATTTATCCACTTTCTGAAAAGGAATTGCAGACCTTAAAAGAATATCTTAATGAAAATTTACGTAAAGGATTCATCAGACCCTCGACTTCACCGGCTGCCTCTAGTATATTTTTTGTGAGGAATAAGGACCAAACCATCCGACCCATTATAGATTACAGAGCCTTAAATAAAATAACCATAAAAAATCGTTATCCTCTTCCACTAATAAATGAATTAATTGAAAGGTTAAGAACTGCAACTATATTCACTAAACTCGACCTCCGAGGCGCATATAACCTCATTAGAATAAAACAGGATGATGAATGGAAGACCGCCTTCCGGACTAGATATGGTCTTTACGAATATCTAGTGATGCCTTTTGGGCTTTGTAATGCCCCTGCAACATTCCAACATTTTATAAATGATATCTTTAGAGATCTTTTGGATGTTTGTGTTATTATCTACTTAGATGATATTCTAATATATTCTAACAATTTGGATGAACATAGGAAGCATGTAAGATGGGTTCTATCTAGATTGAGAACTCACAAATTATACGCTAAACCAGAGAAATGTCTTTTTGAAGTTACTGAACTCTCCTTTCTTGGATACATTATTTCACCTCATTCTCTGAAAATGGATAACTCTAAAATCGAATGTATTATTAACTGGCCCGTTCCTACTACTACAAAAGAATTGCAACGATTTCTTGGATTTGCAAACTTCTATAGAAAATTCATTAGAAACTACTCAGAGGTATCACATCCACTTAACCACCTTAACAGTACTAAACGTCCTTTCAAATGGAATAAAGATGCACAAGCTGCCTTCGACAGTTTAAAAAAAAGATTTACAACTGCACCTATTCTACAGCTACCTAATCCAACATTCTTGTATGTCCTAGAAGTCGATGCATCAGATTCAGCTATTGGAGCAGTTCTTTCTCAGCAAAAGACTCCTCAAGATCCACTTCATCCAGTCGCATTCTTTTCAAGATCCTTGAGCTCTGCTGAAAAAAATTATCCTATTGGTGAAAAGGAATTATTAAGTGTTAAAGCTGCCTTTGAAAATTGGCGCCATCTATTAGAAGATACAAAACAACCTATCATAGTCTATACAGACCATAAAAATCTTGAATATCTTTATACTAATAAAACCCTTACGGCTAGACAAGTTAGATGGAACCTATTTTTTAACCGGTTTAACTTCCAATTAATATACAGACCTGGAACTAGAAATAAAAAGGCTGACGCTCTTTCTCGAATTCCTTCTAAAACTTCTATTGATGTTTATCCTCCTAACAAAATAATAGGGATCCTCTCTTCTCTTCAGGATGACTTAAGGAACTTGAATCAAAAGGATCTTGAACTTCCCAAAACACCTAATTTAACAAAAAAGGATGGTATATTTTACTTTAAAAATAGAATTTATATTCCTCCCATTCTCAGGAACAAATTACTCAAAATGGTTCATGATTCACCCCTAGCTGGACATCCTGGAATAAAGAAAACTCTTGAACTAACTTCACGATATTATTGGTAGCCTCGCCAAGATAGAACCATTGAATTATATGTCAAAACTTGTCCTATCTGTCAAAGGTCCAAATCTGAACATAATCAACCTTTTGGATTACTACTTAACTTACCCATTCCAGAAAAACCTTGGCAATCCATTTCTATGGATTTTCTCGTTGACCTTCCACCATCTCGACATTTCACCACTATTCTTGTTGTCCCATTTCATCTCTTTAAAAAAATTACCCTCCTCCGTAGAATTGTCCAAAGTCTTTATTGATAATATTATAAAACTCCATGGTCTTCCAGAAGAAATTATTTCTGATAGGGGGACACAATTTACCTCCAAATTCTGGAAGGAGATGTGTCTCTCTCTTCAAATTCAACGCAAACTCTCTTCCGCCTATCATCCCCAAACTAATGGGCAAACAGAGAGAGTTAATCAATGTCTGGAACAATATCTCCGATGTTATTGTTCATACCTGCAAGATGACTGGACCACATGGTTACCTATGGCTGAATTTTCTTACAACAATACCATTCATTCTAGTACGAAAATGACTCCTTTCTTCTCCAACTATGGTTTTCATCCATCCTCATTTCCCATCCAAACTATTACTTCATCCAATCCTACGGTTACATCAAAAAATGAATTTATGTCCTCTCTATTCCTCAAATTCCGGGAGAATCTTCAACTCGCTCAAAACTACCAGAAAAAGTTTTTTGACAATAGAAGAAGAATTCCCCCTCCTTACAAAGTAGGGGATCTTGTCTGGCTCTCTTCAAAAAATATTACCACAAACCGTCCTTCAAAGAAATTGAGCTCTCTTTTTTTTGGTCCTTTTCAAATAACTACAATCATCAATGATAACGTTGTTAAATTAAAACTTCCTCCAAGTTTTAAACTTCATCCAGTATTCCATGTCTCTTTGCTTAAACCACACATCCCTGATCCTTTCCATAGAGAAATAGTAACAACTCCTGAACCTATCATCGTCCAAGGTGAAGAAGAATATGAAATTCATAAGATTTTGGATTCTCGTATCCACCGTGGCTCTTTACAATACCTTATCAGATGGAAAGGTTATGGAGTTGATGAAGATACCTGGGAAGATTCATCTAATGTTCATGCAAAGAGATTAATTGATGCTTTTCACAAACGCTACCCCTTTAAACCGAAATAAGTGCACCCAGAGGATGCCCCATGAGAAGGGGGTACTGTCAGGTATACCTAACATTCATGCTGCCGCCGGAACCCACTTCCGGGTTCACGGCGCTTAGCTCCGCCCCTTTTTTCTGACGCGGTCTTTCCACGATACTTAGGAAGACCGCGCCAGATTCAAAGTGCTGGATTATTCACTCAGGTGCGGCAGTGAGATCAGCTGCTCTACTCGATGCTACCGGCTCCACTTCTCAGACCTCGGCTTGTAAACAGATTTCTACCTTCTCATCTCTCAGACCTCGGCTTGTAAACGGATTTCTACCTTCTCATCTCTCAGTCCTCGGCTTATAAACGGAATTCTACCTTCTCCTCTCCCAGACCTCGGCTTATAAACGGAATTCTACCTTCTCCTCTCCCAGACCTCGGCTTGTAAACGGATTTCTACCTTCTCCTCTCTCAGACCTCGGCTTGGACAAACGGACTTCCTTTCTCTCACTACTAAACTGCAGTTTGTTAAAAGAGACTCCTTCCTCTTCCTCCATTGGGTGAATTAACCCTTCCAGTGCCAGAGTGCTTCTAAGTTAAGTAAATCTTTTGTCAAGGAAAGCAAGTCATATCAATTAATTATAGTATTTAATTTCTTTAAACTCTCTGTTGACAAATAAGGATTGCTGCTAAGGCTAAAACTTCATTATTAAAATTCAAGTTGGAACTAACTTGGCATTTTCCTGATTATTATTTAAAGATACAGTCCACTGATTTCACTCCAATATAATAGGAGGTGAAACTTACTGTTCCTGCCCTCAGAATATTCTGCAGTTGAGTTCCAATTAAAGAGGTATTACACAAAAGCATCACACTTGGGCAAATCCTCTCTGGGACCCATTATTAACAAGTACCCTGAATTTGTGGCGTCCTTTAACCCCTTAAGGACAAAGCTTTAGAAGCTTGACTTACGCTTAATGACACAAGCAAATTTTGCATTTTCTTGCTGTTTGCATTCAACTGCAATTTGCATCCCTCTCATTTATTGCACAGACACATATAATATAATGATTTTTTAAAGGACAGAAATGGCTTTAATTTGATGTAATATATATATATATATATATATATATGCTTATTATAAAAAAATATAGAAAAATTCAATTCAAATGTGTTTTTTTTACAGTTTTTGCAATAATAATGTGTGCACAATTAGTGCAGGTTAAGGAAAGTAATTAAAACTAAATTCATTTTGTTGTTCTGATTTACAGAATATATAATGTGTCTGGGATTTTAAGTTTTTTTTGGTAGTTACAGGTCACAAAGCACAAGGAGTAAAATAAACTTTTAATGTGGTGCGATTTTAGAATTTGGTATGTTTGTCTTGTAAGCTTAATAGCCATAAAAGAAAACAAAATTGCCACACAAAAGTATATATTTTATATAAAGTAGACATCACAGGCTATTTACCTAGGGTTGTTTTGCCACTTTCTACGTAACCATTTCACCGCCAATCTCTGCTAAATATTAGAGTAATTTTTTTTGGGGGGGGGGGAGGGTTTCGCACACAAACTTGTAACAAAGAAATTCTCATGTGCATTTTGTAAAGTTGCTGTGTGCTATTCCTGTACAAAACTTTATTTTGTGTTCAGTTACATCTGCTGATTAAAATGACACCCCCATTGTATGTCTTTGGCACTATTCCATGAAGCTACAGTGCCATATAGGAGACCTGTCCATTTCAGTATTTACAGTCCAATTTTGAGAGGCGGATTTAATGGGCCTATGCTTCAATTTGGGGCATTATTGCAGTTTGTATGTTCAAAAAACCCACAAAGAGTAGACACTCCATGGTATCTCATACGGTGCAAATTGTGCCTTAACATACTCCCATTTTTTTAACAATAGATGCCAAATTATGTGGTAAAAAATTATTCGGGGCATTTTTTACATACGGATTGCATTTTTGCTGGGCATCTTGTATATTTCATATGTGCCACTAAGCTGTGGCGAATCCAGGGAGGGAAAACGGTCTCCCTCTCCCCTGCCAGCACATGCAGGCGCCAGCCCTGCAATGTGCCTGCGGACTGGAGGGGAGATCACAGATCTCCCTCCCAGGTCCGCAGGCACTGTGCTGACAGCCGGCAGGGAGTGAGAGAGGACCCGGACGCACAGCCTGCAGCTCCTCTGGGTCCTCCTCTCGCGAGCACGGAGTGTTGCCCTGGTTACCACGGCAACGCTCCAAATCTCACGAGAGAACTCTAGCCCTGGAGCGCGGGCTAGAGTTCACTCTCCCCACTGGGGCCACCAGGGAATCCCACTGGGACCACCAGGGACTAAGAAGTGTCCCCCCTCCTCCCAGTAAAGGTAAGAAGGGAGGGGGGACATAAATATTTATTTTAATTAAATAAAATAATATATATATATATTATTAAAAAAAAGCACCCCTACCCTTATCACACACACACACACTCTACACACATACACTGCCCCCCATACAGACACACTGCCCCCCATACACACACATTGCCCCCATACTGCCCCCATACACACACAATGCCACCCATACACACACAGGGGGGTATGACAGGGGGGCACGGCGGAGGAGTTTTTGTATAGGACAAAAGGTTATGGTGCTCAAACCAGTTAAAGCAGACAAGCTGCAAGCAGCCTGGCAGGGACCTTACCAAGTAGTGGAGAAGAGAAGGGACACTACCTACGTGATTGCCAGCTGTCACGATGAGAGCCTACGGAAGATATTCCACTTAAATATGCTGAAGGAATACCTACAGAGGCGAGAGGATGTGTCAGCCATATGTAGTCCCGCGTCTGAGGACCCTGATAGTCTCCCCATACCCGACCTGTTAACTCCGAACCCCCCGTCTGAGATAGTGAACCAAGTACAGATCGGGGACCGACTTAACCCAGCAGAGAGGGAGCAGCTCCACAAACTGCTCTGAGTGAAACAGGCAATGTTCTCTCAGGAACCAGGGTACACAGATTTAGCCACTCACCAGCTAGACACCCCCGGGCAGCAACCCTTAAGACAGGCTCCCTACTGGATCCCGGAGGCGGTTCGGGCAGGGATGAAGAAAGAAATAAATGAGATGCTCAGACATTGAATCTTCCGATAGTCCCTGGGCATCCCCGGTGGTTCTGGTACCCAAGAAAGATGGCACTACCAGATTCTGTGTGGACTATCGGAAACTCAATGATAAAACCGTCACTGACGCTTATCCCATGCCCAGGTTAGATGAGCTACTGGACCGCATAGCCAGGGGAAACTACCTAACTACCATTGACCTCTGTAAAGGTTATTGGCAAATTCCCCTGGCCAGGGAAGCTATCCCCAAGTCGGCATTCGTCATCCCGTTCGGCTTATACCACTTTAAGGTCATGCCATTCGGGATGAAGAATGCCCCGCCACATTCCAGCGCTTGGTGGATAGACTCCTGATGGCTTCCAGGAATTTGCCTGCGCATACCTGGATGACATAGCGATCCATAGTGAGTCCTGGGAGGAACACTTAGCCCATGTAGGAATGGTCCTGGATCAGATTCGGGCCGCGGGCCTGACCCTGTAGCCAGAAAAATTTCATTTTGGGATGGCTGAGGTACAGTACCTGGGTCACCGAGTGGGATGCGGGAAGCAGTGACCAGAGCCAGCCAAGATAGAGGCGGTCGCAAATTGGCCCACCCCGCACCCTAAGACCCAAGTGCTAGTCTTCCTGGGCACGGCTGGGTACTACAGGAGATTTGTACCCGATTACAGTGCTATTGCTAAACCCCTGACTGACCTGACGAAGAAAAATCTTCCCCCACAGGTCCTGTGGTCTCCCCACTGTGAAACTGCTTTTCAAACGCTCAAAACTGCTCTAATTAATGCTCCTGTCATGGCTCCTGCCACAGCCCCTAATCAATGCTTTATCGTTCATACAGACGCTTCCATCTTCGGGCTGGGAGCTGTCCTCAGCCAAGTAGGAGACGATGGAAAGGAGCACCCGATTGCCTACATCAGCCGAAAGCTCCTACCACGCGAAGTCAGCTATGCTGCAGTGGAAAAGGAGTGTTTGGCCCTACTTGTATGGACAAGAGTTCACTCTGGTTACAGACCATAACCCATTGGTATAGCTCAACCGGGTCGCTGGGGATAATGGCCGATTGTTACGCTGGAGCTTATCCTTACAACCATTTAATTTCACGATCACCTACCGACCCGGAAAGCAGAATGGTAACGCCGATGGGTTATCACGGCAAACTGACCTCAGCCCAGCATAATTCTTCAGTCTGGACAGCCTTAGTCTGCCCCGAAGAGGGGTCAGACAGTGTCTGCCAGAGTGTTCCACAAAGAGGGAGCATTGTTACGAAGACTCGATATGACTCTATTATTGTTACCACGTCTCGCTACTGTTGCACCCTAACCCCTTTCATAAAGAACCCTACACTATCGGTACTGAGACTATGCGAACGGATTACACAAATCATTATAAAGGACAATTTGTGGTACAAACGAGAGACCCCCCAGACTTTGGCGTGTGCCGCCACTTAACCTCATCACCTCTCGAAGTACCGACCACCTGACGAGCGGAGTGTGTCGCTCATTAACCACCCAAGGCACTGCGGTCTGCGGTTAACCACAAACTAATTGACGATCCCGGAGGATCTGCATTCGTATACAATTTACCGAATGGAAGCTGCCGAGAGACTCACGAACAGCGACCACCTACAGTTTGGCGTGTGGCAGCAATTAGAATGTGGTTTCTGCGGTTAACCGCAGGTCAAGTACCCCCCTACGGGGCGGTCCCAGTTCGTGTGCCGAGCGGTCGGAACAACCAGACTGATAGCGGGGATTCGTATGACTATGTATCCGATTTCCGTTCCATAAGTGTTGAATCAAGGTCCCGCTGCCTATTGAACAGCCTAAAAGCATGGCCGCCATCAGGGACTAACGACCAAAGTGCCGAACCAGACTTTATACGGCAGAAATCGCCCATTCCGGTCATGGGGTCTGGTCGCAATTCGTATACTTAATGTGCCCGGAACCGAGCTATCGAATGAATGGTGGAATGAACCGTTTTCTCCCCAAAACGTTAAAGTTATGCATTTTTATACTGTTTTATGGGACATAATAAAACGTGGTCTTTTGTGCGCTTGGAGATAATTAGATTGTATAACCGTTGGCCTCATTATCTCCAAGCTGGGCGGGCACTAATTCAAATGATACATTGTATTGTGATTGGTCAACTTCGTGTACTGTACCTGTATCCCATCAGGTCCATAGGGGGCTGTCCTTGGATCTGAGGAATTGTATAAATTGCCATGTTTGTGTGCCAGTAAAGTTAGTTCGTTTTGACCCTCAACTCGCAGCCTCGACTCGTGTTGTAGGGATCCGGGAATACTAGCACTCTCTTCCCTAGTGGGATATTCTACACTTGCAGATTCTACCGAAGGAAACTACGTTCGACTCTCTGACTGCGGGAACCAGGACATCCAAGCGATCAACTCCCCTGCTAGACCGGGGGCAATCATAACAGAGAGGCAAAGCCAAGATTCGGTAACCAATCAGACAGATGACTAAAATCACACCCCAAAACTGGTCTGCTTATTCGGCCTGGGTGTGAAAAATTTTAAAACAGTGGGCAATACATAGGCCGGGCTGAGAGGGGCAATCAGGGCAGTAATAGCTGGTCTCAGCTCTTACGCCCCTCTTGTAACACACCCTGCACCTTTTCTGGGGGTTTTGTTTTTTTAGGGGTTGGTGGAATCTTAAAGCAGAAGTGACCTGCCTCCATTCTTCTGCTAGGCTCCACTGATGGTCTCCTTGTGTGGCACTCAAGTAGCCCAGAAATGAGCTGAAACTGGAATGAAAGAAAAGTGCTTTTCAGCTCAGCATTTGCCTTTTTTAAAATGTCAAAAGGCATTGTGGACTGCTGTCTGCATTATATATATATGCCCACTTTTTTATACCATGCCCTGGTCTTTCGCATGATCAAATACGGCTGCATTAGTTAATCTGACAGGTCAACTCCCCCCATATGCCGATTATATTGCTGTATGCAGACTGGCACTCGTTTAAATTCCTCTCTGCCACGAACTGGGACCCTGCGAGTGTTTTCACCGTGGATGGTAGTTAGGATGAAAACCTCCTTTTTATCACGGTACTTGAGTGCCAACAGTTCGTTCTGGCAGAGAGCTTTTTATTAAATAAAAAAAAATATATATATTATAAAAAAAGCCTCCCTACCCTTATCACATACACACACACACACACTCTACACATATACACTGCCCCCATACAGACACACTGCCCCCCCATACACACACACACTGCCCCCCATACTGCCCCCCCATACACACACATTTCCCCCATACTGCCCCCATACACACACATACACATACACATTGCCCCATACATACACACACAGCCCCCACACATATACACACACACACTGCCCCCATACACACATACTGCCCCCCATACACACATACTGCCCTCATACACACACACTGCCCCCCATGCACACACACTGCCCCCCATACACATACTGCCCCCATACACAGTGGCGTACATACCAGGGTCGCAGGGGTCGCGGCTGCAACCAGGCCCGGCCCACCAGGGGACCCGGCCACCCCTGCGTCCCGGTATGTACGCCCCTGGGCCAGCCTTTTCCCCTGGGGGGCCCAGGAGCCGGCTACCTCAGGGCCCCCCCAGGCTGGCCCTGCTGTCATCGGGCGGGCTGGCTGTCTGGGTGGCCGGCGCGTGAGGGAGCACTCTCCCCTGTATGCTTCCTCTTCAGCTCCCTCATCTTCCGGCTCCGGGATCAGTGCGGTGTGCGAGGGAGCTGAAGAGGAAGCACTCAGGGGAGAGTGCTCCCTCGCGCGCCGGCCACCCAGACAGCCAGCCCGGCCGCCCGCCCAGCAGCAGCACCACTGGACCCCAGGGAATCCCCTCAGCTCTCCAAAAAGTAAGGAGGCTGGGGGGATTAAAATTTTTTTAAAAAGTGTATGTGTGTTAGTGTGTTAGTGTGTGTGTGTTAGTGTGTGTGTGTGTTAGTGTTTGTGTGTGTTTGTGTTTGAGTGTGTGTGTCAGTGAGTGTGTCTGTTATTGGGTGTGTGTCTGCTAGTGAGTGTGTTACTGTGTGTGTCTGTTACTGAGTGTGTTTGATGTCTGTTAGTGAGTGTGTGTTTGTCAGTGAAAGTGTATGTTTTGTAAGTGAGTGTGTATGTATGTCTGTCACTGAGTGTGTCTCTGTCAGTAAATGTGTTTGTCTGTTAGCTAGTGTGTATGCGTCTATTCATGAGAGTGTGTGTGTGTCTCTTCAGCATTTAACTTTCTCCAGCATCGGACTCCCTTGGCGCTGGGGATCCCTCCGCCTCTCAGCTCCGAATGCACATGCGCGGCAAGAGGCGCGCGCGCATTTAAACCGCCCATAGGAAAGCATTACTCAATGCTTTCCTATGGACGTTCAGTGTCTTCTCACTGTGATTTTCACAGTGAGAATTGCGGAAGCTCCTCTAGCAGCTGTCAATGAGACAGCCACCAGAGGCTGGATTAACCCTCAGTGAAACATAGCCGTTTCTCTGAAACGGCTATGTTTTCAGCTGCAGGGTTAAAACTAGAGGGACCTGGCACCCAGACCACTTCATTGAGCTGATGTGATCTGGGTGTCTGTAGTGGTCCTTTAAGTGTGTGTGCATACTGCGATCGCAGGGTGCAGCCCTGCAACCCCTGCACGACCAGGTGCCGCCCGCCGTGTTGCCCCCGCCCGGCCAGTGGGGCCCACGGATCAATTTTCGCACCGGGGCCCCATGGGTCATGTGTACGCCACTGCCCATACACATACACTGCCCCCCATACACATACTGATCCCCTATACACATGCTGCTCCCCATTCACATACTGCTCCCTGAAATGGAAATCAATCAATAAATTGATTATCTTGTGTATCTGCGTGCACGCTCCTGAAGTAATTTCACACCGGACACAAGTTTCTGGTTAATGAAAAACTTAGGAATGTTTATTCAGAGGGGATAGCAAGCCCCTTTTTAAAGCAGAATTACATCATATGCATTGTCAGAGATAACATGAAATAATACATCATTAATTGGTTAGGTGTTAAGTGGTTCTTCTAATACTCTGCCTACAAGGGTTGATGTTACTGGTATCATGAGGGTCTCCCCCAGACTCCAGTGCCATCTTGTTACACGAGGTAGTTAGTCGATGTTACAGGGGAAACTCCCCAGCGGCCATTTTAGTTAATCACATGAAGATTGAATAATGCTGATTAAATAGGCATTTTACTAATATAAACTAAATTCATATTTATGTCCACAACAGTCCCCCCTTAAAATGGCTATTTACAAAGGAAAACAACCTACCACCAACTGTTCCTAATAATGTCCCTAATTTGGCTGCAGCTCATCTGTCTTAACAGGCCTCAAACACTTCACTGCGCAGGTATCCCGCAGCGGCTACTCCACTACATCTCCTGCGTCAGACTCTTGCCCGTAGAGACAGACGCTATCCCTAAACTATACCTACAAGATGGTGGCAGTGGCTGTCTGTTTAATCTGATGGGACTGAAGTGGTGTCTGTGGAGTATCAATATCAATGTCATCAGCATCCTGGTGTATGTATATGGGAGTTGTATGGTCAATTGTCTGGTCTACAGTCTTTTGTAGATACTTCTGTGCACATGGAACCACACAGCAAGTTAAGAAAAGGACTGCCATTCCTATTTGGAAAAGAGTCCTTTGCCAACCACTCATCCTTCCAAACCATTTGTCCCAGGAGTTAGGAACCCCTACGTTTCTTTTTAATTCATCAGAGAGACTCTCTAATCTTTCTATAGCCATTGTCCCCTTACCATTAGGACCAATATTTTCTGGGATGTAAGTACAACATGTCATTGTCTCAGGGAGAATCTTACACACACCCCCCTTTTCTGCTAAGATCTTGTCTAGGGCTATCCTGTTCTGGAATGTCATGTGAGAGGTAGCCTGCAACTGCTCGGCTAAGCCTTGTAAAGTATCTCGGGTGTAATTAACAAAGCGTTGTTGATTGTAGTAGATATAATTGATCGAATTGACGTTTTTATTGGCAGTAATAAGCGGAATTAAGGATTCAAACCCTGCGGCCACCTCATCTCTGGCCTTAAACTCATTTGGTACCCCCCTAGGTACTCCAATGGCATCTATACATACGTGTGGGTCAAAACTCCCCATATTGGACTGTCTCTTTTTACTCTAAAGTGGGTATTCGAAGAATCATATGAGCCATGATGATTGTCAGGGAAGATATGGATAGGCATATTTACTTTGGTTAGAGTACATTCTCCAACCCACAAACCAAAATCCTAGTTCTAAGTTGCATGTCACCACATAGCCAATAAATGTCTCATATGGACTTAATCTGGTTTACTAGTAATGTCGTAGGCGGATTCTGATAGGTTGCACAATAACCTGGGGGGAATTTACCTACAGATCTACCCGTGGTTTCATGTATCGTATAACAAGTGTAATTACCTGGATATACAGTAACACCGTCCGGTGGTTTAGTGTTTCCTTGAGTGATTGGGTAAGTCTTCTTCCAGGACTCACACGCTGAAGAATTTACAGTTGTCTGTGCTTAAAGACTTAAGAAGCATGTTTCAACATCTATTGGTAAATTAAAGGGCACTGTATCTAGGTGAGGCCTAGCCCCTCCGCAAACATAACAATTTGTTTTATTATGTGAGTTAGCATTGTATCTCATCCATTCAAGCCATAGATTAGTATCTGAAAAACCTGTTTCCACAGCCATGGTATCCTCAAATGTAGGATTGGCAATAGCCACCATGTCTTTGAGCGTCTTGATGTGTGGTTTCAGTGGATTTATCGTCATGTGTGTCGATCCTACCCAGTCTGGTGAGTTGAGCATGTCTTGCAGGTAGAATGTCCCCAATTTATTGTACGAGCCACCCCCTTTCCAATACATTCCCATTACATACTCTCCAGCGTCACCTGGACTTGGATGTTCTATGTTTAAAGTCAACTTTATCGGAGTGGATCCTGTTGGTTTGCATAATGTCATTCGGTATATAGACGTTTCCCATGTCTGTCAACCCAATCTAGGGCGGTCTGTGGTTTGTAGCCCCATGGTCGGCCCGTATTCCAACCCGCTGCCTTCCATGAACTACAATGATGTCCCCAATGCCCGCCTGTCACACAAATGTAGGGCTCCTTTTTATTTGGTATGTCTTTGTATATAGTTGAATGTAGTGAGTGTGGAAATATACAAGCAACAATATCACAGTAGTCAAAGGTGTACGAAGCCACATGTGTGTTAGGCATGATTATCTTTGGTAATAGCAACTTGTTGGGCCTCCAAGAGGCCTAGCAGCAAATATAAATACAAAAGACTCATGTTGGTGCAGGATCCACTTCCTCTGGGGCAGGAACCTTTTTACAATGCGAGATGTGTATCCAAGTGTTCTTCCCCGCCAACTTTACAGAAGTTGCTGTAGTCAATAATGCTTGGTATGGACCATCGAATCTTGGCTCAAGAGTGTGTTTTCTTAAAAATTTCTTGACCATAACCCAATCACCGGGAAGTAATTTGTGTGTGCCTGTGTTGGATTCTGGATCTGGATTAGAAGAAAACACCTGTGCATGGATTTTGGTTAAGGCATGAGAAAGTGCAGTTATGTAGTCTATCATTGCATCTGACTGAAGTTGTAGCTGCTGCGGGAAATAACAACCTAACCTGGGCGCTGTCCCGAACATAATCTCATAGGGGGATAGATTCAATTTTCCTCTTGGAGTATACCTTACACTGAAAAGTGCTATAGGAAGACTCTCCGGCCAAGGTAAGTTAGTTTCTTGTGACATTTTTAGCATCCTGGCTTTCAGAGTGCCATTCATGCGTTCTACCTTACCACTACTTTGTGGATGATAGGGTGTGTGAAAGGCAAGGGTCACCCCCAGTGCTGCCCAGATTTCTTTAGTCAATAATGCAGTAAAAGACGTTCCTTGGTCACTTTCTATTACTTCAGGAACTCCGTATCTGCAGATGAATTCAGTGAGTAGATGTTTAGCTGTAGTTTTTGTGGTAAGTTTAGTGACTGGGAAGGCTTCTGGCCATCCTGAAAACATGTCCACTATGACTAGCGCATATTCGTAATGGCCGCTCTTCGGCATTTGGATATGATCAATTTGGATTCTTTGAAAAAGGTTTTGCCAAATGATTTGGTGCCGTTTTAATTATTTTCCCTGGGTTGCATTTAACACAGATCATGCATTACTGGCAATAGTTCTGAGTGAGGGTAATAATCCTAGGTGCCTCGAAATACTTATCAATCAAGGAGTTCATAAGTTGTTTGGATAGATGTGCTGGTCCATGAGCCCATTGGACAACAGCTGGATACATATTTCTGGGCAAGCAGTACTTGGATCTTATGGTGTATATGTCATTCTGGATAATTGCTCCTCTGTCCTTCCAACTCTGTTTTTCTTGCGGGGTAGCAGCATCTTGTTGCTCTCTCAGAAATTTGAGGTCAGTGGGTAAGGTTTGTAGGTTACAAATGAGGGCTATTTCGTCGGCCACTCTTCTGTCCACTTCCCACTTTTGTCGTGCTGCATCTTTAGCTGCTTGATCGGCCAAATGTTTACCCAGTGCTTCTTCTGAATTCAATCTCCCATGAGCTTTGACTTTCAAAATAGCCACGTTGGTTGGTAATAACAATACGTCCATTAATTCATTAATAGTCTCACCGTGTTTCACAGGAGTACCTGCTGCTGTGAGGAATCCTCTGGTCTTCCAGATTAAGCCAAAGTCATGCGCTACTCCTAGGGCATACCTGGAGTCTGTGTAGATATTTATACGTTTTTCTTCCGATATTCTGCATGCCGTTATGAGAACTATTAGCTCAGCTTCTTGAGCGGACTTAGAGGGAGGAAGTGAAGATGCTCGGAGTACTCGGTCTTTGGTGGTGACTGCATATCCAGTATGATATTGACCCTGTTCGTCTGCAAATGTGGAACCGTCCACGAACAGTATGCAATCGGGGTTTGGTAAAGCGGTTTCATGCACTGTGGGGAGATGAGTAGTTTCCATTTTCATTTGTTCGAAACAATCATGTGGAGCTTCTGGGTCTGGCTCTGTAGGAGGCATTTCTCCACATACCTCTGTTTGGTATTGAGGGTATCGAGGGTAACCAAGTGTTTCGTGGTTTATAGTCTTCTTGGTGACCCCTGTCGCTGTAAGTTGCAGTTGGCCCAAGGTCCTTCCATGTGAGATCTGAGGACTTAGTAAACAAAACATGGGGAACAGCCACTTCCCAGTGGCAATGCAGGTGTGATACCTCCATCGGTAGACAGACTAGGATGACAATGTTCCCCTTGGAGTCACAGAACAAGGCTGTCAGTGTAATTTGCACTTCCACCAGGCTAAATAGTCCCTGGAGATCAGGCCCTGGAGCGTCCAAAAACCACAGGGTGCAATGTAGTTGTGTTTCAGGTTGTTCATCATGCGAAATTGTAGGTCTTTCGATGTGCAGCTCCATGTAGTCATCAGGATGTATGTGTAGACTATACCAGTATTGTGGAACTCCCCCCTTGGGAAGGGGCAGAAGAGTGGCCGGGTTCAGGGTGTAACAACGTTGCAAAGTGACATTATCGGGTAGAAGGAGAGAAGTTTGAAGGCAAAGGTGCCGTTGACAAGAGAGATGTTTCGGTTGAACTTGGTTGAGGATAGCGGCAATGTCATGAGGGGCCAAAACAGTGAGCTTATGGCCAAGAACAAAATCGTTGGTTTTGTTGAGAAGGGCACTTGCAGCGAAGACGGCACGCAAACAGGAAGGACCCCCTCTGGCAACAGGGTCAAGCATGCAGGAGGAGTACCCTATAGGATGTTGGCGGGGCCCATGAGATTGAGTGAGGACCCCGGAAGCGTGGCCCATTTTCTCGGAGACAAACAGTTTAAAAGGTAATTCATAAATAATTTTTATCTTGTACAATATCATTTATGCAAGTTGCCTGGTCAGCTAGCTTATCCTGAGCCCAGGCTTTGAGTTGTTCACAGAAAACAATACCTGATTGAAAATGTGTCAGTAGTGAATACGGCATCGTTAAAACTCTTTTCCATAATTGGCCAGTAAGCATCCCCAGCCTTTATTTCACACAAACTATACAAATCACGCCAAGCTGAGAATATGTTTTACGGATTTTAGCCATTCTCCGGAAAAATGGCATGGGTTGTTTCTCAGGATCGGGGAGGGAAGTGACTAAGGTTGCAGCTTGGGATGGATTAAACGTAACATACATAGGTGGGGGTCCATCCACAGGGGGAAGGTGAGTGGCTGTATTAGTCTGTCTTTGGATATGTCTTGCATTAGGGGGACGAGAGGGGCTAAGTTCTGGCATATCATTGTCCCCTGGTAGAGCCGGGAGACCACAATAACTGACAACTTCAAGTGAGTTGTGAGCCGGAGCCGACGGAGAATCTGATCCGGGAGGACCAACTGCGGCAGCATTGGGTGTGGATAATTGTGAAGTAGTGGGATGGAAACCTGAGGCAGCAGGGGAAGCATCAGGAGCCTGAGGTTGTCCGGTCGCGACGGACTCATTTGTTCTGACAATCATCAACGGGTAGCTGGGAGAAACTTTCTGAGGGGTGGAGACAGGTACCAGGGCGGAGGAAGTAGTAGGCTGGGTTAGTTGGGTCAGGTGCTTGGAAAGAGAGGAGATAAGTAATGCAAGATTGTGGGTTGAAAGTGAAGAAAGGTCATGGGGGACAGAGGAAGCGGAGAGATCTGAGGTTGGGACAGTAGAAGTGGGTTGTGGAACAGGTGGCGGAGGGTGAGAAGAAAGGGATGGGGTGATAAGTGAAGTCAGGAGGGCAGTAGCATCAGAGGGAAATGAAGGGGAGGCTACAGGAACAGGAGAAGCAGAAGGGGACAATGCACCTGGGGAGAGTCGAGGGGTAATCCGAGAGATGAGGGTAGTGACAAGGGACGAAAGATCTCGAAGGGAGAGGGAGGGGTTTGCTGGAGGAGTAGGAGGAATAGTAATGGGTGGAGATTCAGAAGGGGTGTTAGCAGCGAGGGTGGCAAAGAGGGTGGAGACAAGAGAAGAAAGGGGAGGGAGAGGGGGCGGAGGGTATGGGAGATGACGTGTGCTCGGGAATGGGATTGGGAGGAACCATCTGGGGAGATGTGAGAGCGTTGGTGAGGGCAGTGACTAAGGGAGTGAGGTCAGCAGGGGCAGGACCTGTGGGAGGCATGGAGGGTTCTGGAATAGTAGTGGGGGGAGGTGAAAGGGAAGGAGGAGAGGCCGAAAGGGCAGTGAGGAGGGTTGAAACCAGGGATGAAAGGTCAGTGGAGGAAGGGGAGGGTGAACTGAGAACAGGAGAGGGAGAGGATTCCGGGTCGGGGAGAACAGGAGTCGGGGAGTGGAGGGAAGCTGGGTTAGAACTGATGGGAACAACAGGTAGTTGTGGTAGAGGGGACAGGGTAGGGGCACTCAAGGGAAGGGGAGCGGGAGTAACCTCTGAAGGAGTTGTCTTGGATGGTATTGGAGTAATAGTATCAGTAGGAGGGGTAACAACTTCTAAAACCGAAGTTATGGGGGCATCAACTGGAGGGGAAAGTGAAGGTGTGGGTGTAACAGGGGTTACCGGAGTTACAGCTGGTAAGTGGGAAAGGATAGTAGTAAGATCCATCTGCTCCCAGGATGGGGTACAGCAGAGTGGGAACAGGAGGTCCTTTAACAACAGGGAGTGGAGCAGTGGGGGGTGGAGACGGGGAGATGGCTCGGGGGGCAGGGCATGTCTCACTCGTGTCCTTCTGGGCGTCATCACAGGGTGGCGGCCGGAGAACAACAGTAGATGTATCGTCATTTCCACAAACATTTCTGTAATACACAAATATTGTTTGTCCGTCAAAATCAATTTCCTCTTCTGACCATCCCTCATGCTTAAGACCTCTTGCAACACGATACCAAGCTTCAACGGCTTTTGTCATACCATTGTCTAACAATACACCTTCTTTTTTTGATAATTTTGATAATTCTTTATCAACAAGTAATTTCCTGTAACCTACCACTAGGCGACATTTGGAGACCACAAACCTTCGCTAATTTCTTCAACTTTAACATAGCCTCCTCTCCTGCTCTTTCTTTAACAATGTCACAGGCTAAGAGACCCTTTGAAGGTCTAGCACATTCCTGTCCCATTTTCTTTTTTCAACAAACAAGTTCTCCCTGTGGAAAGGACAGAGATAGGAAGAAGAGGAATAGGGAGAAGAAGGAAAAGTCTACAGTGCTCGACTGCCACAAGAAATCAGTTCCTGTGCGTCTTCCCAAAACGTAGACTAGTCACGGGATCCACTCCCCCGAGGTGGTGACCGTGGATCAGTACGGGCGTGCGTGGGTGACTAACACAGCTCTGGGCAACAAGTACAGACAAGATAGAGAGTTAGGGAGAAGATAAATGTGGAGAAACTAATCAACAAACACTTACATGTGACAAGACCAATCTCGCCACATTGCATTGGAGAAGCCTGGTTGCTCACCTGTTGCCTTTGGATTATGGCCCCATGTTAAAAGGCTTGATTTTCCCCTGAAAAGACATGAAAGCCGGGTCATTTGGTTCTTGCCCTGTTTGAGCGGTGATACCACAGATAGCTATGCCACGGAGCCCATTCATATAATGAAAGACTATGGGAAAGACTTTGGCTCCATGGCAATTGAACTGTATGTGTGTGCTCTGAGCGCCATTCAGTAATAATGTGCGCTCAGATCTGAGCTATCTGGGGATATGTTGAATGTACCTGTTTTGTGCAATGGCTGCACAGTTATATGTTTTTATGTGTTTTATTGTCTTTTGATGCCATGTGTTCAATGGAGTTTTGCCTCTGTCCTTGGAGATAATTGGATTACTTCCCAATTATCTCCAGGATAGAAGACTCTGTGGAACTGGTTTTGGGCAGAAAAACCATGCTTCCTTTGGCCTACCTTGTGAACCACTGGACCAATTTGAATGATTTTGACATATGTTTGTATTTGGAGTATGCTGATTCTGAAAATGTAACTTATATGTGAATGTGATGCATACTTTTCAAATTGTATTTCTCTGCTTGTTATAATTACATTACCCATTGTGTAAGGTAATTGAATCACAGGCAGAGGGGGGGGATTCTGTGTGGGAGTGCCTGAGTGTATTGTATGTGTTAATTGGTTGTGTTCCAAAACCCTGTGGGTGGTACTAATGTGTATATAAGAACAATAAACCCACAGCTCTGACTGTTCACTGCTTGACCCTCAACACGGAGCTTTGTCTCGTTCTTGGGGGGATTTATTGTATGTTGTTCCAGTTTGACTGCTAGGAGTGTAAACCTATTCGTATGGTTTTTCCTATTCGGCTGTTTACGGCATTCATATGGTTCCCTGTTCGGATTGGTGTTCTGCAGTAGCTGTGCCTGTGTCTCTGGAAGGGAAGATCTACTAAACGGCGGTTTAACCCTTTTATGCTGAGGGTGCCATTACATTACAAAAATCACAAACATAAAAATGTGCGCATAATCCGGAATCAAGAACAACCCACACAACACATACACAACCAACACGGATACCCACGTTATGACCACAACTAAACAGAAGACTGAGTGCAAACAGAATCAACAGAAACATAAACATCAAAACTCAGCAACAATAACATCTGCTCCTCCCTGGGCAGTATAACACGATTCCGTCACTGGACGAACAACAAACCCCAACACTTCTCTGTTTGGTTAACAGAGAATCCCAGCCTCACTCCAAGGATAAATCTGACTGCCATTCTGGGGTCAAGAAGGATTTTTTTTCCTAGTTTGTTGCAAAATTGTGCTTCAAACTGGGTTTTTTTGCCTTCTTTTGGATCAACAGCAAAAAACAAATGTGAGGTAGGCTGAACTTGATGGACGCAAGTTTCTTTTCAACTATGTAACTCTAGGCTGTCACAATCCCTGCCCTCCAGGCAGACAAATCACAGGTAAAACAACGATAAAATACAAGTAAAACAAACACATCCCAGACCCTCACTAGGCTGTCATAATCCCTGCACTCCAGGCAGTCAAATCACGAGTAACATAAGGGTAAAATACAGGTAAAACGAATACATTCCAGCCTCTCACTAGGCTGTCATAATCCCTGCCCTCCAGGCAGTCAAGCTATGGGTAAAACAAGGAAAGGTTGGATGCGAACCCTGCCCTCTAGGCAGTGAAGCTTGGGATAAAACAAAGAGAGGTGGGGTGCCGGGGTATCGGGATACAAACCCTGCCTTCCAGGCAGTCAAGCTAAGGGTAAAATAAGGAAAAGTTGGACGCGAACCCTGCCCTCTAGGCAGTGAAGCTTGGGATAAAACAAGGAGAGGTGGGGTGCCGGGCTATCTATATACAACAGCTGTTCCACACACACACACACACTTACACAGTTCTCTCTTTTCAGGAGGCAGATAGACATTCGACAGGTTCGTTAAAAGGGCACCGGGTAAGTATTTACCTGTCTTGTAGCCTTCTGGAAGCCAGAAGTGGACACGGAGACAGACACAAAACAGGAGGATACAGGCAAACCACTGTATTAGGAGGTGATCATGCTCCGGTTGTCCTACTTCCCGGAAGTCCGCTCTGGTCATGGTTTTCCGGCCGTCCGAACCGGCAAACCCGGTGGCCCCACGTTGGGCGCCAAGTTGAAACGGAAATCAATCAATAAATTGATTATCTTTTGTATCTGCCCCTGGCCAAATTGAAGAAGAAGTGCGTGCACGCTCCTGAAGTAATTTCACACCGGACACAAGTTTCTGGTTAATGAAAAACTTAGGAATGTTTATTCAGAGGGCACGGCAAGTCCCTTTTAAAGCAGAATTACATAATATGCATTGTCAGAGATAACATGAAATAATACATCATTAATTGGTTAGGTGTTAAGT